TTTAGAGAAATTTGGACTTTGTCATTATACCACAAATAGGTAACTATAAAAAAAAATAACCACCCTTCTCTCTTATCACTTTTCTGAGCAACATCAAACTTGATTTCCCAAACTTGATTCAGATCACAGTGATTGTAAGACAGCAAAACTTGCATGTGCTTTTTACAGTATCATTTGCCCTTTCAGTGATACTTTCCTGAATCTGTTAAAGCCAGCCTCAATAATGATGCAGGCAAGCTCAATGTACATCTTAAGATAATTTTCAGTTATATTAATAACAAAACAATAAAAGCTAACATTTATATGATATATCTGTATTAATATGTTCTATGTATTAAGTGTGCTTTATAATTATTATCTCATTTGACCCTCACAACAATGTTATTACTTCCATTTTATGGATGAGGAAACTGAGGGAAATAGAAGTTAAGTGAATTGCTCAGGTTCACCTAGCTAAGAGTCCAAGGAGAGACTTAAACTCAGATCTTTCTGATTTCAGACTTTGTACTCTATCCACTATGCCTTTTAGGTGTCAGTAAATTAGACAGTGGCAGGAAGATACCAGCATTACCCCTCTTATCCCAGGTGCATTCATTGTTTATCTTGTCAGGGTATACAGAAAAGTCATCACCTCCAAACACAGTGCCTTCAATCTTGTCTCACTTTGAAAGTGTCCAACACCACCAGCTACATGGCTGAAAAAAGGCCTCCTGCACACCCCCAGCCTACAACTGAGATTATCTCCCTTTGGGAGGACCTAAGCCTTCCCATCAGGACTTGGATACCCCCTTCCATTTCAGTGGTTTCACACTTTCTTTGGGAGAAGGAAATATTGTTTTGGGATTTTTGTTGTTATTGTTATTGTTAGGGACTGGGAGGGAAGGGAAAAAAATGGAGAAGTACCTTACAGAAACTGCCTTGCCATACATTGATCTGTGTAAAGTCTTGTTGTTGTTTGTCCTTTGTTCTTGAAAGAGGACCATGACATCAGGAAGGTGATGCCATGACTTACAAGCGAATTGGATTTAAGTGAGGGAGGGCTATGCAAAATCACCTGCCTCACTTTCTGCTTTGGAGCCATCTGGGTCCAGTGGCAAGATATAGATCAGGAAAACAGCAGATTGCCCCAGATACAGTGGCCTTTTTAAGATAAGGTCTTTCCCAGGTCTCAGTTTGACTGAGGCAACACCTATCCAATGATTAAAGATAGGTAAAAAATGACACAAAGACTGGCCTCTTTTACCTAGTTAAAATAAAAAAAAGAATCAATCTGGGAGGGGAAGACCCTCAGTGTTTCTAGTCAAAACAGAAACAATTACTATTTATAATCACTCTGAGCCATCAGGGCACAGACAGTGTCCAAGTGAAGCTTGGAACTATTGTTGGCCAGTCAATGAGAGCCAGAGTGATTTGGGTTTCAGAGTCTAATCCATGGGAGGAGAAGGGGAGAAAATAATGAAGAATATAAATTCTGTGCCCTCTAAGACTTCCCTGAACTCTACTTCTTCAATTAATTTTATTTGTATTTTAAGAAGTTCCTTTCTAAGTTTGACCCCAGTGCTTCTGGGTGACTATAAATATATTCAGAACAAGCTTTAATACTGTGTTCTTCTTATCTTTGCTGTGAGCAGGAAGTACAGAGGTATTCTGAAGGAAAGAGATTATTTGAGGTTGATAGTGCTGTTTTCAATATTGTGTTCAGCCAAGACATCCCTCTAGATTGACTGTACTCAAATCCATATCTTATGAAATGGAAAGAATTTTTAGAGATTTTACTTGATTTTTTTCTTAAAAATTGACTCCATGATAGACTCTAATTTAGTCTAACACTTATTCCTAAACTTTTAGAAGGCATGAAGAATGTCATTGAGTATGAGCTCTGAATTCTGCCCTTTCTGCCATGTAGCCCTTGTGCTCACCCATACCCAAGCCTTAGCTAGGTCCTAAATCTTCTCATGTTACTAAGAGGATAAGGGACTTGTCCATGATCACCCAAGTAGTGAATGTCTTAGCTGACATTTGAACCGAGAACTTCATATTATAAATCCACCAATACATTACCCTCCCTCTGCTACTTACTATCTGTGTAACTTTGGGCAAATTATTTCACCACTCTGAGCTTCATATTTGTCTATAAAATAAAGGAATTTGGTTTAGGAAATTTCTGAGGTCTTTTTAATCTCCAAAAGTCAATTTTATGTAATTTAGTAGCTATAATTAAAGAGATAGCATAACATAGGTGATAGTGCATTGGTCAAGAAGACCTGGGTTACACCTAGCTGTGTAAAGAAGGGCAAATTACTTAATTTCTCTGAACCTCTGAGTCTCCATCTACAAAATGGGGAGACAAATACCTGTAATATATACCTGAGATGTTTTTCTGAGTCTCAAAAGGGAGCATATATGCAATATTCTATGCAAACCTTAAAGTATCTTATAAATGTGAGCTTTAATTAAGCGTATAATATTCATTGGCCAGAACGTGCTATGAATAGCATCTCCAGAGCAGATCAGACAAAAGGCAGTAGGCTTCAATTTTTGTTGTTGCACAGTTATGTCTGACTTTTCATGACCTCATGGAACATAGCTGTCCATTGAGTTTTATTGGCAAAGATACTGGAGTGATTTGCCATTTTCTTCCCCAGTGGATTCAGTGGATCTTTTTATCAGTTAAGTAGAGGTTAAATGACTAGCCTAGGATCACACAGCTAAAAAAGTCTCTGAGCCTGAATTTGAACTCAGGTCTCCCTGATTGATTCCAGGCCCAGTGCTTTATACACTGAGCCATCAACAGCCTGTGTGGCTTCAATTTTAGGGAAAGTTTAAATGTGAAAATTGAATCAAAGGGTTCATTGAACATAGAACTCATTTGGAGACAACATTTTTTAGAAATCACTACATTTTTTTTCAATCTGATGATTGTTTTTGGCATTAAACCTTTCAAGGGGAGTCTTTTTATAAGATCACTGACTGACTGTTCTGTTCCATGGCCAACTTTATCCTAGTCCCACAATGGGCCAGATCCTTGGCTTCCCTTGCATAAAGCATGGCATTTTCCCAATCATGTAGTACTGGATATTAGAAAGAGTAAAAGAAGAAAAGAAAAGAGGTAATAGAACTATTTCCTACTTCTTAAGAATCTATTTATAATTGTGTTTCTATGACCCTCAATGTCCAATCAGTTACCAAGTACCACTGTTTCTTTTCATACTTTTCAAATCTATCACTCTTTCTTTCCATTCAGGTGTCACCACAGAAATCCAGGTTCACATTTACACTACTGGAATAGCATCCTTATTAGTCTCAATGATTTCACTTTTCTGATTCATTTCTTCACATTGCTCCTACATTATGTTCCTGGAACACCAGTTTCATTGCTCAAAAGACCTCAAATGTCTCTTTCATATCCTGTCTACAGACTTAAGTCCAAACTCCTTATTCAGACCTTGTACAATCATGTCCCAACCTCCCTACTTTTTCAGACCTATCTAGTATTATAGATGGACACATTCTGTTTCTATCAAATTGGTCCAGCTCATCCAGCACACATACTTCAGGTATCCCCTGTGATTCCTGCCATTTGTTATTCAGTTTACCCACCTCCACCTCCTCTCTACCTATGAAACTATTGTACCTATAATTTCAAAGTCCAATTCAAATATTAATTTGTTTCTGCAAAGTCTCCCTTGACCACCTATCCAATAGCAACCCCTCCCTCCTCACCTGTAGTCTCTGGTAGGTTTGAGTAACTTTATGGTGTCATTGTCATTACATGTACATATTTCTTAGATCCAGAACTAGGATGTTACTTGAAGGCATGAATAGTATCTCATTCTTTTTTTTTTTGTATCCCTAACATAATGTCTTTTACATAACTGATTCTCAATAGAAAATATTCATGGGGTGCCCATAGTCAGATACAATGTAAGCAAAGGATGTAGTGTGTCCAATTCACCATTGCTGGTGAAACTACCCATTCAGTGGCGGAATCTGGTATTTGTGATTTAGTGTCTACTTTTGAATCCATGTATATTGGTTATGGTGGGTACACTTGAATTGACCCAAAACATAGACTTATGTTTGAATCTGCTTTTTTCATGTAAATGCTAATCTATGAGTCATTACTTTTTAGTCAGTTCTCTAAGTATCTACATTTTTCTGAATGTTCTTTTCATAGATGGCTATGAACCCCTAATTGATTCACTGAATCAAACACATAAAAATATTGACTTTGAAACTCAAATGTCTTTATTATCTACATTTCATTAGTTACATTCATTTGGGGGAAAAAATTAGTTGTGTCTCTGGATCTACCTTCTCTATGAGACTGTTAATGTCATTGGAGATTTATAATGAGAGTCCACGAAGAAAAGCTTTGCTCCTGTAGAACAACACTCCTATCTATCTATCCCAATGTCATTGTACACCTCCCCAAACCCAGAATCCAGTGAGAGTTACATGCACCAGAGCAACATCCATGGAGTCAAGCCCCTCACTCAAAAGTGAATCTATTCCAATGTATATGCGTGCTTTGGAAATTGTAAAACTAAATGTGGGTAGTTTCTAATGATGCTCTAATGAAGTCTTTCTTTAAGAGCTGGAATAAAAAAAATTCAAAAAGCAAAAAGATTCTAGGTTCCATGAACATGAGGGCCTATATTAGTTTTCTTTTTGGATGTAATAATTTTACTTATGTTCATAAATTATGGATAGTCTTTAAGTGGACCCTCACAGCACAGTTTTTTATAATTTTTTTTCTCTTGCCATACTTCTAAAAAGTCAGGAACCAAGGAATATTGAAAACCAGTGGGCACTTCTTTTTTCAATGCATTTATTAAAAGAAAGGATACATAACATATGAAGTCATAAGGTTTTCCTGATTCGAATACAAGATTTAAGCAAAGATCTCTAAAATGATATTTATAGTGTAAACATCACTTTTGTTACATGAGAAGCAAACAAATCACAACTTTCACTATAACATATATGTGTTTTGGTTTTGATATTGAAGATGTTTCTTTGATAGATTTACGTGGAACTCAAAAAATAGTCAATTTGTTCATCATACATTTCTTTCAAGAATTCTGAAAAACAAAAATAATAATTTTAAGAACGAGCATAATTTTATTTAAAAATTTTACTTTCATTTTTATAAGAAACATCTTAAAGTTCATCAACACGCTGTAGGTAATCATAGTAGCTCAGAGAGGGATCTACTTTTCAAAGAATGTGACCCTAACACAAGAAATGAAGTATTAGAGGCCTAACAGGTATAGCATTAAATATTGGACACCTATATACAATGAATCAATAGTATTCTGCTTCAGAGAAAATTCATATATATTAAAAAGATATCTAATCAGAAAGAAAGAATAAGGATGGACCTTGGATTAAAAAAAAATCAGGACTTGGTTTTCAAAAGGAAATTCAATTTCTGTTCCACATTTCAGCACAAGAAAAATTGAGGGGAAGAGGATAAATGAAATCAGGGCACCATTCAGAATATCAAACTGCTCCCTCTTAACTCTTGACACAAGTGATGATAGGAAATCAAAATGAGTTATTCTAAGCTGATTATTGGGTTGGGTTCAACATCAATAGAAATCAGAATTGAATAACCTGAAGTGGTCCACTAATATGAAGTGCCCTTCTCTTAAGAGGAGATATTTCTTATAAGGAAGGAGCATGTTCATGCAAAATGACTCTTGGATATAGAAGGGGAGAAAGGGAATAGGAATTCATATAATGCCTGCTGTATGCCAGGCCCTATGCTAAATACTTTACATATATTATTCATTTGATCTTCACAACACCCCTGGGAGGACAATAATGTTATCCCTATTTTAGTCAAGGAAACTAAGACAGACAAAAGTTAAGTGACTTGCTGAGGGTCACCCTGACTAGTAAGTGTCTGAGGCTAGATTTTAACTCAGGTTCCTGCCTCCAGGCCCACCACTCTGTTCATTGTGCAACCTTGCTGTAGACTTAGAGGGTGAGGCAATTGTCCCTAGAGCAGAATGATTAATGTATAGTTAGACTTACCATGAGGAAGCAATGCATCGGCTCTACTTCTAGAATATCACTTTCAAGGTTCTAGGTTGGGATTATCTTCTTCACTATGACAGATCAGGGAAAAAAGCATTTTGAGTCTCTTAGACAATGAAGGTTGGGGCCCCCTTTACCAACATTTGGGGAAACCTAGATGTGAGCTATACCATACGAATAGTTAGAGTGACCCCTGGAGGTGAGAGCAATGAGCCGCCGCCATAAGAAGATGGTGCTCTTGTGGTTAGCTCGCTATATTGGAACCAGGAGACATAGTACTAAGTCTTGGCATTAACTTAGTCCATTTACACCCACACATATACATACACACACATATATTCCCCTTTACCTTCTCTTTCCATTCAAAATTTTTTCTAAATATTTCTTCAATGCCTCCTTCCTCAGGAATTGGCTGTAACTGTCAGTGAAGACTGAATCAGAGTGACGCTTTTCTAGCATACGAAGCTTGCTGTGGACAGTATGGGAAAGGAAACACATCAGATTTAAAAGTTTTAGCAAATATGCCAACAATGCCATAATTCATGAGTGTGAATAGACCAAAACAAATAAAATAATTTCTATTTGATGCACAAAAATCAAATATCATATTTACTGAAAAAGAAACTCATGATTAGTAGATTAAAATGCAGTTAGTAAAAACAAATAGCTCACCTATCTCCTCTTTCAATAAGATATTTAATGAATTGTCTAGCAGCAAGTTCCTCCAAGTATTTGCTAACATCACTGGCGTACATCCCCTTAACATGTCTGCTATTTCTAAAATGGGGGCAAAGGTCATTTAAAGGTTAAAATATTCATATTTGCTTGAAAGATAATAGAAAATCACTGTTCCCTTTCAATACTATGAAGAAAATTATTTGGAATCAATTTGAAACAAATCATTTTAGTGCTTTAAATGACAATTCTTATTTCAGTCTTATCACATTAAATGCAAAATGATCTTTATCTAAATTTTATGACAGTGACTTCTACTTGTTCAAATTCCAATATATCCAATTACAACTTTAAAATAATTTGGAAAATAACAGGAACCTACCTATATTTAAATTTATAGCTTCCTTTTCTGCTTTTTTGAAGGGATTCTTACCCAATTATGCAGATTCTCACACCTAACTGCATTCGTTGTCCTTATTTCTAATTGACTGACAGTTTAAGTAATTAGTTACTTGTGTTAAGGTGAATGGAACAAAACACATTTGCAATCACAGAATAGTGGAATAGTCATTAAAGGCTAGGCCAAATTGAGTAAAGAATCTGCTACTCTCCTATTCTCAACAAGTGGCCATTCAAATACAAATAATTCTAGTGACAGGGAACTCACTAATTTTCAAGACAGCAAGTTCAATCTGACTCATTGTAATGTTTTTGATTTGATCAACCTGACTCATTATAATGTATCCAGCAAACCCATAATAGTAGGGAATAAAGAAATAATGATATATGAATGAGCTGTGGTGAGTTAAATTGACCAACTTTATGGTACACACAGTACTACCATGTTATGGTACAAGAAGACTTCCAATAGTACAATATACAGTATCTCAATGCAATAATGATGATGATAATGATAATAACAATAGCTAGCATTTACATGATATTTTATGGTTTGCAAAGCAGTTTACAAATATGCTCTCCTATTATCCTCACAACCAGCCTGGGAGTTAGGTGGTGCAGTGGATAGAGAACTGAGCCTGGAGTCAGGAGGACCTGAGTTCCATCCCAGAATCAGACACTTACCAGATGTGTGACTCTGACCCAAGTCACTTAACCTGTTTGCCTCAATTTCCTCAATGTAAAATGAGAACCCTGTAGAGGGAAATGGCAAACCACTCTAGTATCTTTGCCAAGAAAATTCTATAAAAATGGGATCATGAAGAGTCAGACCTGACTGAACAACTTAACAGTGACAACATTACATGTTTACAGAGAGGAAACTGAGGCAGAGATTGTGATACACCTAGGTTTACAAAGCTAGTATCTGAGCTCAGATTTGATCTTTAGTTTTCCTGACTCCAGGTCCAGAACTCTATCAAAAATTCTCAGATAACAAAACAAGTATAAATGACCTTACCTGTTCAACACTCGGGGAGCATCCAAAAAAGACAAGTAATTTTCAGGTAATGAACTTTCCAGATGATCATTTTCCATATTTAATAAGCCTAGATTTTGATCAGGTTCATTAGGGCCATCAAACAGCACACCATTGCCCAGCCTACTGGAATGGAAAACACCATGAGCTTGCCATAAACTACCATATGACAAAGCAACCTAGAAGTATTAAAAACCATTCAAAGCAAGACACTTACAAATGTATCCTAAAAATAATTTTCTATTAACAGTGAATAGATAATAAATACAGCAAATTATTTGCTTTCCCACGATGTGCATGCATGTGTGCATGTGTGCAATATACAAATTGAAAAAATACCAAGCAAAGCCTGAAGGATCTATTCCTATCATGGGGTAAAATGAAAAAACAAAAGGGGAATTGAGAACGACTATCACTAAAAACAGAAGAGAGAATGGTGGGGAAGAGTGTGAAAAAATAACGAAATGCAGAAGATGAGAGTGCCTTGTTTCAGGCCAATTTGAGGAACAAAAATATGAAGTTCCAAGGAAGACAGACAAGGTAGTCAAACACAGGAAGAAAAAAGAGAAGATGGAAAGATATAGAAGGAGAAAAAAGGCAGGAAGAATAAGGTTGTGGGAGGAATCTATGTTTGTAAATGTAGATGAGGAGGAACCTTTATAGATTTTTAAAGTTCACAAAGTGCAGCAGGTGGCACAGTGGATAGATAGTGTGTTGGACCTGGAGTCAGGAAGACTTGAGTTCAAATCCAGCCTCGGACACTTATTAGCTGTGTGACCCTGAGCAAGACATTTGATCTCTATTTGCCTCATTTTCCTCAACTTTAAAATAGGGGTAATAATAGCACTTAAGGTTGTTGTGAAGATCAAGTAGATAACATTTGTAAAGGGCTGGGGACTTTATAGGGGAGTGCAATGTAGTAAGCACTGTATAGATGTTTATTCCCTTCTCCCATCTCCCTTTTCCCCCTAACAACCTGGTGATGTGTGTAGTGTCAGTATTATTATCTTTATTTTATGAGTAAGAAAAAGAGGCAGGCAGAAGTTAAGTTACTTGCTCCTGATCAGATGGCTACCAGTTCATGTCAAAGCTGAGATGTAAATCCAGGTATCCTGACTTCAAGTCCACCAGTCTTTCTGTTTCACCCTGCTGCATCTCATTCTGCCTACATCTCTCTCTCTCTCTCTCTCTCTCTCTCTCACACACACACACACACACATATAGATATATACATATATAGAAAAAACATATGTAATACTGATGTACTTATGTGCATAATACATACAGATTGATATTTGCGTTATGGATGCTATAAAAATATGAGGAGGAATAAATTGGATATGTAAATTTTACTTATACTTTTTTCTCCTTAAGAAAGTCATTACATGTACTAAGTCAATAAAATGATCATTAGATTTCTCAATTACAAGACAGCAAGATACTTGTTGCATTCTATACCTGTAAATGGATCAATGCACAGCCAGATTCTGCTATCGTATTTTCTAAAACTTGCACTCCTCAAAGTGATTTCATCTGGGACTCATCTAAGGAAAAGAGGAACTAAATGGATATGGTAATTGCCCTCTGTGTAATAGTAATTGGTGAGAATTTGGTGTGTCTAACAAAAGTTTTCTGCCAGAAACTGTGAGTTTATCCTTCCAATTACTTGGATTTAAAACAGGATAAAAATGAGAAGAGCTAGAGAGGAGCTCTCCTTATAGCTAGTTTCCTAAGTTGTCCTGGGAAATGTAAGCTCAGCATTTGTTATTCTAGATATCTGTGACTGGCTATGCACATTCTTAAATGAACCAATAGCATGAAATGAGACATCATCTCTTTGCATTCTCCAGTGTTGTTTCTTGGAATCTTTGCACTTGGCAGGTAGCTGCCCTCTACATTTGTGAATGGGAGCACTTTTACTGCAGGTAGAGACCATTATGCAATTGGCAGATAGGGAAGATGTGCATATGAAAAATGAACATTTTGTATTCCAAATTAAAAAATGAAAACTGTGTTTCTAAGAATGAAATTAGCAAGTTGGCTTGAAAAATAAGACCATAAAAATGACATGAGTCAATTTAATTCCATTAACCTATTCAAAGCAAAGTGCTCAAGGAAAGTGTCAATCTTCTTAGGATTCTTAAAAAGTACAATGTGTAGCATCCTACATGGGAATATACTTATTCCTGAGCAAGTAATGTTGCTCAGGACTGCAACCTGGGCCAAGAAGGTGGATGGCCACTAATAACTCTGTGTCTTACACTCCAGAATACTCTGTTGGTGCTGCTATCATTCTGCCTCAGAAGTGACTGTTTTCTGGGCAGCTTTCAGAGACATACAGGAGCCTTCTTTGATTGATTACCTTAGAGACTTAGTACTCCTGATGAAAGAGCAATTTTTACTTAGCTGCATAAAATTCTGAGGAAGGGTTCTAGAGGCTTACAAAGGATTTTATCTATGAAACTAGGAGAAATTAAGACTGGGAAATTTTTTCTTTTCCTTTTTGAGATTTAGCACAAAATTACTTTATACTGACCTCCTCTCAGTTGGACATTTTTTAAAGCTCTGAAATGTGGCATCCATGATAGAGGATAGAATAGCTAAATATTTAGGAATAAAAATCAAATCATATTCCAAATGATTTATACTATATATGATTTACTTTTAAAAAAGACCTTGTATTGAATTAATTCTGTCAATATCTATTGTTGAGAGCTTTGAGTCAGTTTGTTTATATATGCAAAATTATCTTATCTGTTTTGGTTGTAATACACAATGTCAGAATCATAACCAAAGGGCTACAAGTGAAAATTTTGGATAAAAATCCAAATATTGATATCTATAATATTTCCTGAAAATTTTATCTAACGTGTTGCAGAAGAAAGTAATTAAAATGAAAATACCATGCAGATAATTGATGTTACATGAGGAGGTGTGCCAAGTTAATGATGGTTAAAAATATTTTGTACTAATGACACCCTAATAATGAAAGAAAAGAAGAAAAGCCTACTTTTGGATTATATGGAGATGTGTTCTGGCCTACCCACAGCTTACATCCTAATATTTTAGCTGGCACTAGAGAAGTGAATTCCAGGGCACCTTTATAATCATTGAGATTATAGTCTGGAATTGATTAGGGAATAAAATGATTAAGAACATCACATCATTGAAGATCAGCAAGTAAAAAAGACTCATTTTCAAATACCTCTAAGTTTAAATGGTCAGCAGGATATATCCCCTCATCCTACTTCACAGCAGAGATGGGAGAGAGATGGCAACTTCTCAAGTTAAAAGACAACTTACCTCATGGCAGAATATGTTTCAAGAGGTAATGCCAGTGTTTGTGAGCAGAAGACACTAAGAAACATCAGTGATACCAGGAGATGGGAGTTACTTCTGGCTTCCATCTTTGTGTATCTGAAATAGATGAAAAAGAAACATTTAGACCACCTTCAGGGGCTACAGATGTCATCTACAAAACAGCCCAGAACACCACATAGAAATATACCAAGTTTTTGCCAAGTTCAAAACAAGGAACTGTCATTCCATCAAAAGAGATAAAACTGCACCATGATTACAGATTCAAGCTATAGAATTTCTGCCATTTTCCTCCATCACTTTGAATATAAAATTATCCTCCAGCTATATGTAACACAGTATATATAGATTTCACGCAATTATATACTATATACTGGTTTTTCAAAGAAGCACATATGAATCCAAGGGACACTAACACCTTTTGAACAGAAGCATAAGTAAGCAGTCAAACTGAAATCTTATTCTAACCAATGAATAATTGAACGCTCATCCAGTTCTTATCTTTATTATCTAGTAAAGATGAGACAGGTATAGAGAAACACATAGATTTGTTGAAACATAGATTACTCTGAACTCTCTTCCCTCGGCCCTGCAGTTAGACACCTTAAACCCTATTAACAGTAAAAAAAAAATAATGCTAAGTTCTCATTGAAGAGCATATTATCATTCAAGTAGTTATTCCCTTAGGTAGTATATAGAGGAAGTAAGGAAGGGGTGTCTATATCCATTCTCTTAACATATTCCTGCAAGTTTCTAAAAAGAAACAGAGGATGTTAAATTCTCTTTCTGTAAGAGGATTAACAAAATGAAATATTTAAAACTGCAAAAAGCAAAGACAATTGCTGTCATAATGAAGCAATTGAATATATAATAAAAACTTCAGTGCTTGAACAAGACACACGTTAAAATCTTGTCATAACCACTGATTAAGGAGTGTTTGCTTGTAAGACAGAAAGAAATTAGTGTTGAATCGGGAGAAATCATTCAATAGTAACTAAAATGAAGAAGAAAGAAATGAAGAAGAAAGCAGAATAAAATATTTACAAGCCAATAGAGTGAATAAAAACAACCTATATAAGATAAACTTTCCCACTTCAGAGTATTACCTGAGAAACTTGCTTTTGTTATTGATGTAAAGGAAAAAAAAACACATGGAAAACTTCTTGTTAGAGAGAGAAAATTCTGTATAACCTGTGGGAAGTTCCAGAGAAAAGAAAAACAGAAGTAGTGTTTCTACTCACCCTGACATGGAAAGTCCTCTCTGTGATGAGGTGTGCTCCTTTCTCAAAGATGTTGGTGAATGCTCAGAATCTTCCTGTGCAGTGAATTCCTGTGAAGCCACAAAGGACTTCACCTGTTCACTGAAGTAGAGCTTAAGCTTGACTGAAGGGACTGCTTTTCTTCCTAACTCCTGAGCTGACTCCTCGTCCCTTCACTATACTCTGACCAGCATTTCAAACATCCTCCTTTTTATAGGGCTTACACATAGGGCCAAGCAATCACATAGCTATCTGCGATAGACGTCACAATTGTTACTCCCCCAGATGAATGAATGATTTTGCTGCTTTGTGAGGTAGAAGATCCGATGTAATCCATGAAAAACACGCAATGTTCTTATTATGAATGATTTATATTAACTTATGATGGGTAAGTTCAAGATGTAAGGTACAGGGGAAAAACTCAACTTATTTAAATAACCATTAGGCCCATTCTTAGTAGGAAATAGTTTTTATTCTTTAAATGAATGTGAATATAATAAGATAATGATTATTTAAGTGGGTTTTCCTGGTCATGAAGCAATGTTTCACAAGAGAAGTTTTTCCTGAAAAAATTTCAAAGGAATTGGAAATAAGATCATCCTGTGAATCAAAGTAATGGAATCATTTGGGAGCTGTGTGTGTCTGTGTCTGTGTAATCTCATGTGCAAAGACATGCATCACATATATGAAATGTTAACTATATATTATTGCTTATTCTTATTCTAATAACAAAACACTATTATTTGTACTTTAATTATTTGTATTCCATTTTTGTTATTACCATTTCTTTCTCTTATTTAGTGACATTTATGAACTATGATGAGACTTTCAGAACAGATTCAGGGTCATTTGGACATTCAGGGGTTACTGATTAGTCCCTACAGAATATTGTTTTAGGACATTAAGCCCCAGAAGTTTCATTTCTTTAAAATAAGTTATTTTCACATTTCCTCAGGTCTCACACATATTATAGGGATATTTTATTTTATCTGTTAGGTTTTCATTTCTTATTTGAATACAATCTTATCCATACTTTCTGAATAATATAACTCAGTACAATATTACCTATATTTCTCTAGGTACAACTCTAGTTTCTAATGTTTTACCATTGAACTTTGAGAGAGAAAAAAAAGAAACTCCTGAAATGCCATTTTAGTAGAGAGTTTTTCTTTGCAAATCAGATGTAACATGGATTCCTGGGATTGATGTGGGATTTGAAATCGGATGCCTCGGGTCTGAATCCTCTCTCTTCCACTAACTTAGCTGTGAGTTCCTAGAAGCCAATCCCTTAACTTCTCGGTGGATGAAATGATCTCCAAAGTCCCTTCTACCCCTACAATGATCATTTCATCACCTACTATTTTTCTGAAAGGAATATTCCCCAAATGACCTACATCAGAACAACTAAAGGATATAGTTTTTTTTTTGTCCTCAAAATATTTCAAAATCAATCATTGTGGCTTAGAAAGTTTCAAAGAAAAAAATGGAAAAAGTATTTTATAACAATCTCATTTCTGTTTATGAAATATTCTCATTATGAAAACACCATGTAAGGGAGACAGAGATTTAGGTTCAGCTAAACATTTCTATGGACATCTAAGCAAACTGTGATCAATCAACTCCTACTTCTGGTTTCCTGTGAATGTCCTTTGTGCACTTGTTTGAAGGTACCTACTGGGAGAATGACTGAATCTCCCTCCTTATTCTTGTTTTCAGAGTTTAGTATATCTGTTTGATTCATTCTAAGATAGTCTGGAGTAGCAAAGGAATATTCTGCTATTCTTAATCATATCATCTAATCCATTTACATGAAAAATTAAATGAATTAAATTTCCTAATGTCTGGAAATTTGTTTCCCAGCTGACAGCTCTGACTTAAACCAGAGTTCCTGTAGTGGCTTAATTCCAGGAAATATTTTTTTACCTTATTATTATAAACTGAAGATCAAAATAATTCTCATTTGGAGGGGAGGAGGTGGCATTATTTCTTCATCCTCCAGCATCCAGTGAAGTAGTTTTATATATGATAATCAGTATTGGACTGCATTTGGTTGATTGAGGCAGTGGATTAAGCACTGGACTTGAAATCAAGAAAACCTCAGTTCCAAACTAACCTCAAACACTTACTAGATGTCTGACCACAGGCAAATCACTTAAACTCTGTCTGCCTCATTTTCCTCATCTGTAAAGTGGAGTAATACTAGCACTTGCCTCCAAACGTTTTTGAGAGGATCAAATGCAATAATATTTATAAAGTGGTTCACAAACCTTGAGCACTAAATATATGTTATTATTTTTATTGTTGTTTTCATAGTCACAGAGTTTTCAATGATAGGTAAATCATGGGAAGGAATCAAAGAAAAAATAGAATTTCACTATAACTAAAAAAAAACCTAAGGAAAAGGGAGGATACTTAACTTTTTCAAAGTAAAAATCTTTCAGTTGAAAAAAAACTTATTCCACAAGTTCATTAAAAAAAAAGAAAAGAAAATTATGGAACTTTAAAAAATATTATTAGAAATGCATAAACTCATTTTTTAAAACTAAATCAGAGGTCCACAGCATGAAATAAAGTTAAAGGATATTGTTGTTTCCTAAAAACTGAATCTAAAAAAGTTACACTTATAGTTCTAATGGTATCAGAGCACCATCTACAGGCTAAGACTCTCATTTCAGATATTAGTAAAAAGGTGGAGATCATGCCTTCAACTTTTCTAGGATATTTGAAGGATGGCACTTGTTTGGCCTTAAAAAACAAAAACAAAAAAACCTATGAATAGAGATGTTGGGGAAATGTTTGATTTAACCTTAATTTCTTATTATTTATGATAATTTTATAAATCAAGAAAAGGCAAAAATTTTACATTACTGTGCACAACCATATCTCTACAGTTTTAGATCATAACTGCTCTGATTTCAATATATTTTAAGAATTTAGAAGTTTAATGCCAATGTCTATTATTTGCACATATTTTTAACAACATCTCATTTTTTAGCTGGAGGTTCATTAATGTGGTAGTGCTTATAATGCCTAGACCCATCATCAAATTTTAGAGCTCAATTCATTCTAAAAGATAATCTTGTCCAACCCCTTTCATTTTACAAATGAGGAAATTGAATTCTCAAGAGATTTTAGAACTTGTCCAAGGTCATATAGTTACTGGTAATACTGGGATGAGAACAAAAATCTTTTGACTCTTGGTTCAATGTTCTCTCTGCCACAACAAAATACTTTTGAGTAATTTGCATAAACATGAAAAAAATTCAAAAGGGACACTACCTCATTTTTAAATGGGAGAAAGTAGACAGATCGAAACTCAGAATTCTTATTGAAAGGATACTAGAGGTAAGGAGAGGAGCAGTAGTGTGAGGGATGGAAGAAATTTTTTAAAATAAATTTTTATTTATGCTTTCTGCTGTTTTTTTTTAAATTGCCATAGTTATCTCCACTATCCTTCCCCCTACCCATTCCAGAGAGCCATCCCACATAACAAATAGCATTTTTAATGACAGAAAAAGAAAAAGAAAAAATTAGCCCAACTAATCAATATATCAAAAAAGTTTGAAAATATGTGCAATGTGTAACAACTGTGGACTTCTGACCTCCATGAAGGGATAGGTTTATGGTATCTTCCTATATTGATTGCTTCATTAGAGCCATCATTTATCTTGATAATTGTGTTACATTCAATTTTTACTTTTGTGTATGTGTGTAGTTGTTCTTTTCACTTACATTCTGTCGTAATTGTGCATATCATTTGCATGGCTTTCCTTACTTTAATATCCATCTGTTCATGTAGATCTTTCCATGTAGCTCTATATTCGTGACATTATTTCTTCTAGAACTATAATCATCCATTATATTAAGTACCACAATTTGTTTTTCATGCCAACAATCAATGGACATCTACTTTGTTTCCAATTCTTTGTTATAATGAAAAATGTTGCCATAAAGATTTTGGTATATATAGAGATTACTATCTTATCAGTGATTTCCTTGGGGTATAAGCTCCAGTAGTATAATATCAGGTTTAACAAGTATAGATATTTTTATCACTATATTTGCATATCAATTCTTGGCTCCACCAACAACATATTTGTGTATCTATCTCCCCATAAGATCCCCAACATTGCCATTTTTTTGGTCATCTTTGACAATTTGTAGGATGTGAGGTAACACCTTAGGGTTGTTTTAATTTCATTTTTCTCATTATTAATTTGGAGCATTCTTTCATGTGGTTATGAATAGTTTGCAATTCTTCATTTGAGAACTGTTTGTTCATATCCTTTGACCACATATATATAGGAGTATAGCTATTAGATATAGATAGTTATACACACATAGATTACATCATATATATTATTTCTATCTTGGATACTAAAAACTTAGAGAAATTTGGTGCCAAGCTTTTTCCCATTTGATTGCTTCGCTTCTTGTCTTAGTTGCCTTAATTTTGGATGTGCAGAAACTTTTTAGTTTCATTTAATCAAAGTTATTCTAATTTATATTTTGTGACTGCCTGTATATCTTGTTTGGTCAAAAATATATCTCTGACTAAAATCTGAGAGGAATATTATCTGCTTCTTTTATATATATATTTTCAATAGAGCCTCTAGGTGGCTAGAGTATTGGGTCATTTGGGTCTCTGTCTTTTGTATGTGGTTCCTGAATCCAATAGTTATTTTCATTACACTATAGTCCATAAAGGATTAACTATTTCTATTTTTGTATATTTGTTTGAAATATCTTTGTGCACTAATAAATGTTCAATTTTCGTTAAAAAAAAGTTCCATATGGTAATGAAAAATACATAGATTCTTTTTTATTCTCATTTGAAGATACCATAAGTTTTTTAGCTTTAGTTTCTCTAGCATTTTTTTTAGTTCTGTGTTTTCTCTTTTATTTATCTTTTTGTTGGATTTGTCCAAAACTGAAATTGGAGTTTCCCTTCACTATTCTATTACCCTCTGTGTTCTTGTAGCTCAGTTAATGTTTCCTTCATGAATTTGGATGCTAAGGTATTTGGAACATATACATTTATTACTGATATTAGTTTGTTGTTTATGGTTCTTTTGAGTATAATGTAGTTTTTTTGTTTATCCCTCTTAATTTTTGAATTTTTTTCTTTGTCTACTAAAAGGACTACAACTCCTGCTTATTTGGATT